AAAAAAAAAAGGAATCGACACGCACACATATATACAGGAGTAAAGAATGTCTGAAAATAAAAAAGAAGAGAAAAAAGAAAGAAAAATGGAGAAAGTAATCCTTCACAGCATTAGACCAATCGTATGTACGTATACGGGCCTATTATTAGTGAATAGACTTGTTTTTGTTTTGTTTTTTTTTTTGTTTTTGCAAATGAAAATACGCACCCGCCTGTTTCCCCCACCATGTAAACATTCTTATTCCTTTTCATGGTCTCTCTCTCTCTATCTCTTTCACTCACTACCTCATACTCATTCACTCATTCATTCATTTCATCATCTCTCAGCAGAGTATGCAGAACGTAAAATGGGCACAAACGGACAAATAATAACTGGAGTGTGAATGATAAAAAACCCCAAAAAATAGTTTAAAACAATGATGTCTCCATTCATTACTTGCAACCACTTTTTTTTGCCTGTCTGTAATGTAAGTGTACCTAGGAGTTTATATATATATATATATATATATATATATATATATATATATATATTCCTTTCACTCTTGTTTTCTCTGTCTTTGCTGTCTTTGAGGGAGGGGAATATGTAAACAAAGAAAAAAACAATAAATACAACGCAAAGACGAAAAAAAGGGGGAAAACAAAGAGAGAAAGAGAGAGAGAAATATAGAGAATGTGTTTGTATGTAGAGAATCAAACAGAAGAATCATCTGCATTTCTTCTCAGGGATGCTCTAGTACTTTTTTCTTTTATGTTTTCTAACAATGTTGGATTCTTTTATTTGCGCACATTTACTTTATGAATGATTTCTTCATTCCTTTCTTTCTTTTCTTTTTTCTTCTTTCGTTTTCTTATTTCTGAGTTTCAGATTCTTGTCGCTTCCGTTTTCTCTCTCTCTTGTTTGCTTTTCTCTTCTCAAGTTACATAAATGTGAGTTCTATTAGCAGTGCTTTCATATTCGTCTACACATTTTCCTCTCAATTTGTTTTTTTTTCTTGAGCTCAGCCGTCAAGTGTGACTGTTCTTCGAAGAAAATAAACGTGGAAATATATGAACACAGATATATATATATATAGTTAGAGAAACAATACATACATGTACACACACACACACATCTATTTCTACATCTATGTGTACCCATGTATATATATATGTATCTCTCTTTCTCTCTCCCTCCGTGCGCTCTTCAGAAAAGAGGAAAAATAAAAATAAAAATAAAAAAAAAAAAAACACTTTTTTTTTCATTCGCTAATCCGTCATCAGTCCGAATTAACCAAGTAAGTATGTATCAATTGTTGTTGTTTTTTCTTTTTCCTGTGAATTTGCGTATGCGTGACTTTTTTTTTTTTTTTACCTTGGGATTCGAATACAATGACGTTTACTCTTTTTTTTTCAAACAACAAAAAAAAAAAACAAAGGGGGGTAATCAACAGGGAATGCAAGGGAGAAAAAAAAAAAAAAAAGACAAAGCGATGACGTACAATATTTTTTGGTAGAGCCCATACACTGATAACGAAAACACACAAACACAAAAAAAAAAAGAAATAGTACTGCAGAATGAGACACAAAAGCAAAAAGAGGCTCCTGTTACCACTGTTGCTGTTGCTTATACTCCTACTCCTACTACTCCTACTAATACTAATAATAATGACAATAAATAATAATAGCAGTACAACTTACTTCCATGAACATGTGGTTATATTTGTATGAAGTACTTTGTATTATATATATACGGACTCATACCCTCTCTCTGTGAGATGAAAATCTCACAAAGAAAAAAAAACAAATCAACCACACACAGATACACACAGAGAGACTCATATATATATATATATATATATATATATATATATATATATATATATATATATATACTGAGAGTAGACTCATTAGCACAAATCATGACAGAATCCCTTACAGTACCGCTCCGCGATGGTTCCCCCGCGCCAGGCCGGGATGTACACAAGCCCCGTCTCCTCCTGCACCACCGCCTCCTCCACCACCCGCCCCAGTCGACTCTGCAGTTTGCGGCAGTACAGCAGCAACGCCGTGCTCTTCGCCCGCACCGTCTCCGCCGCCTCCGCCACGTCGTCGAAGGGCGCCATGAGGCCAAAGTCGCCGGCGTCGGGCGCTGCGAAGAGTGACGGCAGCGCTGGCGGGCGGGGGCGGGCGGCGATGTGCATAAAGAGACCAAACAGCACCACCCACGGCGTCCCACACGGCACATCCACCGCATCGGAACTGCGAACAGTATCTGTGGATGGGAGAGGACCGTAACTTCCACTGCCTGTACTCTGCCGCAGTTGGGAATTCGTATTTGTCGTCGTAGCGGCGCTGCTAGTGGTTCGATTGAAGTTATTGTGATCCGTATGGTTGTTATTATTATGATGATGATGATGATGATGATGATGGCTACTTTGCGGCATGGAAGATGAACCCGCACGTACGGCACTACTGGTACGATGGGAGGAGAGAATCACAGATCGTAACTGTGTCGTCTCACTTAACACATCCTCAAGGAAAAGACTCCAATCATCCATTTGCTGTTCAAGGGCTTTAAAGTTATCCTTGCGAAATGGTCGTGGTTGTTCATCACTATGAAAGAGAAGACCTTCAAGACACTCAAGGCATTCAAAGATAAGATGCATCGTCACTCGTTCCCAGTGAAGCATTCCACGTAGTTTTGTATCATCTACATGCAATTTTTCACTTGGTATTAAAAAGAATCCACCAACAGTTTCTTTTGGTATACCTTCAGGAAGACTCCGACTCGATTTTTTAAGGGATTCACGCATACGTGAGGCAATAGACTCTAATTCAATGCCTAAACCAACGAGGCGTGCAGAGTCATTTCTAATGGTTTCAGCAAGGTTTGCAGATCCCATTGTAGTATTCGTGGTTGTTCCACCAACTCCACCTGCAGAGATTCCAGCGTTAACACCACGTAAAGAGCCTCCCAGACCACTTTCTACAGTATTTTCTTGACTCTCTAAATCAGATAATAAGGTCTCTGCCATTACCAAAATCGCCTCATTACGGCAGACATCCACCATAACTTGTGCTTCCCGAAGATGCCATAAAACAGCAAATTGCATAAAATCTCGAAATAAATCTGGTTTAGCATCTCCTTCATAAGGTTGATAAATAACTTTTTGAGTCTCTTCCAGGCAACACCAAAATCGTCCAACTTCTTTTAAAAATTCCTCTACCGATGTAAGTTGACCTTCAATAATACCTAATGTCCTTTGAGGTTGTACTGTAAGTACTGCAATTGCGGTGGGAATTGGAGATTGTGAACGACCTATATGTTGTTCGGTATTCCCATTACTAAGTATTAACCTCCCTACATCATTATTCTGATCAAGAACTACATTATCAGGTGAAAATTCACCTGTAACACGTTTTGTAGATCCATCATTATGAATATATTGCTGCATAGAAAGAAGTCTTGATACCAAAGAGATGAGTCCAACAATACACTCTGTAATCTTTTTTGGAGAACTAGATACCGATATCTGTTCAACTTCTTGTATAGTTTGATTGATAAGGTGCATATGACGATGGAAAGAATGTTGATTGGAAGAATCAAAACTAGAATCAGAAGACATCACAAGAGAGGTTTCTGCTTCTTCAAGAAGACGTTGTGCATGTGTTCGAAGAGCCTGTTCCATACGAGCGATACCATTTATAAACGCTGCATTACGTTCAACTATACGTGTATTATGACGTTGTAAACTTTCAATTTGACGTCTATGCGATTCCCGTTCACCCTGTCCAGAACGTGTAATTTGGGCAACCCAACGTAATAATGACTCAGGTGGAAGTTCTGAACCACCAATGGTGCTACTCTCATCCATCCTGGTAGAACTGTTATTATTACTATTACTTTCAGCCACACTAGTTCCACGTCGTTCAACATCTATTGGAGGGGCTCCACTAGGACGTCGTCTCTCACTATCTTGAATACCCCCAGAAGTTGGTGTAGATGGTATGGCGGATCCAGGAGTATTAGCAATAGTATTAGGAACAGGTGCTACAGTTGTGGCTGCGGCTGAAGTTGAAACAGAAGCCGCATTACGACGAAGACGTTCCACTGCTGCCGCGATAACACGACCCTCAAGTGTTTGATATTCCTTCTCAATAGAGGCCATTCGATCGGCATCAAGTATTGGACCTAATTCATTGTTCATTGCCATTTGAGAAACAGATAAATGTAATTTGGAAAAATCATCCAATAACAAACGTGAGACACGTGTTTGGGCGAAGAGTCCTTTGAGATCTTCTGTCTTTTTTTCTATACTAGTTAAAGATTCCATAAGACCTGCGGGTGGTTCAATCTGGACGGACAGCCCCTTCTCAATATAACCTAAGTTATTAGCACTGTTACTATTACTGCTATTTTTGTAGCTGTGATGGCTATTATTATTATTATTATTATTACTATTATTATTAGTATTATTATTAGTATTGGCGTTATTGTTCTCATTCCGAGATGATGCTGCAACAGCGACGCGATGCTGTGGTGGATTACTCATATTACTCTCTTCCCGCATCGTTGTCGGTCTTTTTCCTGTAGCAAATACAATAGAATTATGCGGTACATGTGCTCCTCCTGCTCCTGCCGCTGTTGTTGTGTTGGTAGTGTTGGTAGTAGTAGTAGTAGTGGCGATAGATGGAGAAATGGGCGTGACAACGTTATGATGATATGGAATAACTCCTGTACGACGAGTACTTGGACCTTCTAACATAACTTTTCGTTGTTGAGGCACATACGCCGCACCTGCGCCTTTACCAAACTGTTTGGAATCCTCATAGTTAAACACCGTGAGATACCGCTCAGACCGTCCTGTCTCCTGTACAGTGACAGCAAATGGTAGAGCAGTGAGAAGTCGCATTCCAACAGAAGTAACACTTCCCTCTAGTGCGATACCACGAAAGAGAAGAGATGGCACAAGTGGATCACTAATATCTATTAAACCAATGGCCTCCGTTGTGCATTGCAGTAACTCTCCATGACCAGTGACAAGGGCTTTGTCTTCTAGAAATGCCATGGAAGTGAGGGTGACATTGATATTCACTAGAATATCACATGTACTAGGATCAATAACGGCAAGTCCACGTGTAAGGGCAACATAAACGACACTCTCAGGTTCATAATATTTAATAAAACGCATTTCACTCTTCATACGAAGAGAATTTTCTGGTTTATCAGTTGATTGCTTTACTACTCGTACATTATTTCCAGAACTATCAAAAACACGAATAAGTGTATCATCACTAATACCCCATACTTGTTTATAGTTACGTAAATAACATAAATCAGATATAATAGTAGCAATGTTTCTACTCTTTGTACGACGTCGTGTTTGTGGATCCCATACTTTAAGTGCTTTATCATAACCAGCTGTCCAAACCTTACCATTACCAAAAGACCACAATCCTGTAATAGTTTGTGTATGTGCATTTCTAATAACACCACTTGAAGTAAAATCAGTTAAATCAAAAATTGCGATATTACCACGTGCTACTCCACACCAAAGAACATAACTTTCTTCACTTTCACTTGTACTAGGTTTTGATTTTGATCCACTTGTACGATTGTTATTTTGTGTGGTTGAAGGAGCAGATTTAAATGAAACAGATTTCGCCGCTGGTACATGTACCACCGCCAAAGCATAAACATGAGTAACATGTAATGTTCGACTAATATTAAGTTCTACCCCTTTAAAATCCATAATAGCTACTTCATCATCTCCAACGGCAACTAATAAAGAACCAGCATCTGGGCCTACAACCATTGCACGCACTGGTTGGCCTACCGACATGCGGGAAACTGGACGTGAGAGTTTTGGGTGAAGCACAGGAGATCGACCTTTCTTTGATTTCAAGGTATTAGCACTATTATTATTATTATTCACAAGACTATCATTAGCTGGTGTAGAGGCTACAGCTGTACTACCATGATCTACAAATGTATTATCATCATCAATAGTATTCGGTGTATATTGCGTCGTTGGCACTGTTTCCATCTTTCCTACAGATGTTGAGTTTGTTGGTCCGGTGGCTGCTGTGATGGTGGCCCCAGCGGATCCTACTTCTTGACTGCTGGAGTCCTCCTCCGAGTCGGTGCTGTTGTGCACACCTCCCCGCTCTGGGGCTAATGTATACATCGGCAGTCGTGATTCGGCCTGCACAGAGGCGGGCGGTAGTCGTGCGAACTTCTCCCCAACACCCCAACCGCCGCCTGTTTCCACCGTGCCTAGAGAGAGCTCCGGTATAAAGGGCGCACTCATTTAGGGAAATAAGTGGTGGGGTTCAAAGGGTACTAGAAAACGAAAATATAACTTCGTTTGTTGTGTTTGTGTATAGGTTTCTTTTCTTTTTTTTTCTTTTTTATTTCCTTCCTTTTTTTTTTTTCTTTCTTTCCTTCTTTCCTATCTTCTCTTTCACTGTTTACAATTCACTTGTCCCTTCACACTATTGATGTGTGGATTGGTTTGGTTTGGTTTGGTGGTAGTGTATTTGGATTTTTTAGTAGATGTAGATGTTGTTGTTGTTTTTTTTTTTTCTTTTTTTTTTTGACTGTAGACGCTGATGTTTATTGAAGTGTATATACGTTAACTTCTTTTTCTTCTTACTGTACTCCTCAGAGCTGAATTTATTGCCTGTGGAAAGACCCACAAAAAGAAATAATGGGTCTTTTATTTGTTAACGAATTCAAACAAGCAAACACCTCTCGTTTCTACAAACAAACACACACACAGAGAGAAAGAGAGAGTGGTACAGATAAAGAAAGATAAAAAGAGAGGGATAAGGATACAAGGGGAGAGTCAGAACACTAGTTGTCCCTTTTATTTTATACCCCCAAGACGCAGAGAACTCTTCTCTCAATTAATGTACGTATAATAATAGACGCTCTCTTTCTTTTACTGAATCAGTAATGCGGTAGGTAATACTTTACTTTGTTTTTGTTTTTTTGTTTTTCTTACTTTCTCCTTTTCTTCTTTTGGTGTTTCCACGTATTTCCCAGACTCCTGTTTTGTTCCTTATAATATTCACTCCCTTTTTTTTTTCTTTCTTCTCTTTTTTTCTTCTCTAGCTTTATTCCTTCTCTCTTCGTTCAAACCAATTTTTGCTTTCCGTTTTTTTGTTGTTGTTTTTTTATTTTTCTTTTTTTCTGTATCTCTCTTTTATATTCTTTTCGTTTTTTTTGTTGTTGTTCTTGACGTTCTTTCCTTTTCTCTTTATTCCTTTTCTTCGTCACCTTCTAATACTTTTTTCCCTCTGTAGTTGGTCCTGTTACTACTACCGTTCCTGCTGCTGCCCACTGCTGTGATTTCCTTAGAAACACCCTCAGAATGGGAGAAAGAGGAACGAAGGTGACAGAGATAGAGAGAGAGAGAGAGAGAAAGGTCAATCCGCAATACTGTGCACAGAACCCTTCACTCTACATGTGTATATATATATACAAATATAGAGATAATACATAGTTGTGTATTGTTTATGTAGATAGAGGTGTGTACATTTTGTGTTTGTGGAACAAAATGACAACAACACGTACATAAACAATACATAAATTGTGTGTGTGAGAGAGAGAGAGAAATAAAAAAGAAGAAAAGGAGAAGAGAAAAAGAGAATAGAGCAAAGTGAGCAAAGTGAGCAAAAAAAAAAAAAAAATCCGTTGAACAGTACATATTACAGAGAGTAATGAAATAAATAAATACTCATATGTTTTTTTATTCATTTCACAACACAAAGTATTAGAAATACTTATGTCGTACCGAGGAAAACCAAAAAAAAAGAAAAACATATGTTTCTCTCCCACGGATAGTTCCATCGAAGAAGAAAAAAAGGAAAAAGAAAAAAGTGAATCTATGTTTATATATATATAAACAATTATCTTTCCACCATCGCACCCTTCTTCTTATTCCTTCTTTCCCTTTTCCTCACTTATACTGCAGTTACTTTACTTCAGCTGAGAGAGAAGGTACTCAAGAGCCCTTGTCCTCTCACCAAAGTCACGTACAGCAACGCAGGAGCACTTGAAGGTCTTCTTTAACTCACCATCGGCGCCGACCTTTGTGAGTCCAGCCCATTGGGCGAGCTTCTCACGCTCCTCAACGTTGATGAGATCAATCACACCCTGCTTGGCGAGTGCCGTGATGAGCTTCTTGTACTCCTCATCCTCGCAGTCATCGGCGAGAATGCAGAGATGTGCGGTGCGGCGGTAGAGGGCGCGGGCCACTTCGGAGAGACCGCGGACGAGGCCGTTGACTTCACGTGACTTCTGCAGCACAATGCGGATAGCGTCTTCGAGGCTCTCCGGCGTCGCATCCACGAAGGCATCAACCACCGGGGGACAAGTGACTTCCACAGGTGTTTCCTCTGCCATACTTACGAGATGTTATCGCTCTTGGGAAAGAAACTATATAGGTAAGGATATAGTATGGATATCACAAAATAAAAAAGAAAGAAAAAAAAAGGGGGGAAAAAAAACAGTACAATACAAATAAGAAATATGATAGCATTGATAGTACAGAATATAGATTCATAAATTATAAATACAAAGACTCACATCATACGTAAAGATTATTTTTTTTTTTTTGGTTTATTTGGATTATTTGGTTATTCTATTTTTATTTCTTTTCCTTTGCCTTATTTATTTCCTGAACCATTCCAGAGAGAAATTATCGGAAACAATAAAGTAGAAATAAATAAAAAAGAAAAACCAGAAATAAAAAACAAATAAAATGTGTGTGTGTTCAGCCTTCGCGTTCCTTGGCTTTCTTCTTCTTTCTTCCACTCATGTCCGCCTCGGTTCCCTTTGGCCCATGTGCTCTTCCAATGCTCAAACACACGCCCACACAAATAGACAATCACACACATACAGAAAGAAAAAGAAAAAAGAAAAAGAGATAAATATAAAAGCACATAAGGCCAATATATTATCCCTTTCTTCTTCTCTTCTTGTTCTTTCCTTCTTATCGTGTTGTTTACTTGTGGCGGAAGGCGCGACGGCGAGTACCCACGCGTTCCTTTTCCTTTCCGCGAGACTTGAGGTACGGCTTGGCGTGGCTGCCGGGCACACCGGCGGCGCCGAAGTGCTTCACCGCCTCACGTCCAGCCTTGCGGCCGCGCAGCAGCATTGTGTTCTTCCCCGTTGGGGCGACCATGGCGAGCTGGTCGAATGTCAGGCACTCGCCGCCGGCGCCGGTGATGCGTTCGCGGGCGCTCTTCGAGAAGCGCAGCGCACACACGCGGAGGGCGGGGATGCGGGCCATGCGCACATCATCGAGGACGTCCCCGACGACGACGGCGATGGGGGCCTTTTTGCCCTTCTCGAGCCACACGGACTTGCGGCGGAGGCAGACGGCGATGCGGCTGAGGGAGATGGGGGCGCGGTTGCTGCGGCTCTTCAGCAGGCGCTGGTGGACGAGCTTGTTGAAGCTGGAGTTCGTGCGCTGGGCGAGGAACTTGTAGAGCTTGATGAGCAGCTTGATGTACGGGTTCGTCGAGTACGTGTGGTGGCGCACCACGCGCTTCTTCTTCTGCACACCAGTGAGGTCAACTCCCATTCTTGTTTCTTGGTATGTTTCTTTTTGCTGGTTCTGCTTGGTTTACGGTTTATTCGGCTGCGGCTGGCGAGCTGAATAAATCTAAAAAAAAAAAAACAATTGAAAACGGAACACTCCGAACGCACACTGTCGTTCAGGAAGTTAAAATTAAAATTAGAAAAAAAAAAAAGAAAAAGAAGAGGAAAAAGAGCATTCAGAATGAAAAAATAATAATAATAACAGCATAGTTTATACTGGCAATGCAAGTGTTCATTCACTCCATTCATTGTATTGGATAATCGTTTTTTTTTTTTTTTCTATAACAACCTCTCATGTGAATTTCTCTCAAGCCACCTACTCACCCTATCACCCGCAATAATAATAATAAAAAAAGTGTTTCGTCACATCTCACTCTTTTTCTTCGTTTTCCTTCTCGTTACAATCAACCGCGGTGATTATTGAAACAACATCCCTTATCTTTCTTTCTTACTCTCTCACTGCAAAAGTGCAAATAAATATATGATTCTGTGTTTTTTGATTATTCGAAAGGTCATTTATATGCGAATAAGTGGGATTATATGTGAATATGAACGTATTGATATATATATATATATATATATATATATCACTTGGTTCCTTCACTCCTGACGTCGTAGTCTTTCCTTCAGTTTATCTGTTCCTTTCTTGGGCAATGGTGGCATTTTTTTTTTTTCTTTTTTTCCTCTCTCTTCTCCTTTTTTTTTTCTTTTAGTCTCCTTTTGGATTAAATTTAACACAACACATCCACATTTTCTTCGACTGAGTCCTCCTCTTCCTTTTCCACTTCCTTTTTTTTTCTTTTTGTTGTTGCTTTCTTCTCAAGATGCCCTTCTGATTTCTTCACCTGTTCCAATCACGATCCTTTTTAATCTCTCCTTCTTCTTCCATTCACATATATATAATCATCTCACTTCTTCTCTTTCTCTCCCACAAAAAGATGCAATACACTACAATACACATGCATTACTCTCTCCGCATCTCTTGATCTTTTGACCCTTCTTCATACTTTCCTTTCACTCCCCCTTTCTTTTTTTTTTTTGCTCTTTCACCGCTTTCTTCCTTTTTTCTTCTTCTTTCTCTGTTACTATTTCTCTGGTGGGTCCTGCAATAACGGTTTTTGATTTCGAGCAAGATCAGAGTATGGCGCACCAAGCGCACTGTACGCCCATGCCCATGCAGCAGCCGTACGCTTGCGATTCGCCTCTGCAAGCATTCCAGTCGTTCTCTGCATTCCTGCAGTGTCTGATGATGATGATGATGAGACTTCTGATGTTATTCCTGTTGTTTTTCCTTCTTTGGGTGTTGGTGGTAATGTACCGGCGTGTCGGGCGAGAGCAAAGACGAAATCATCCATAGCGGGATCATCACTGTTACCACGGGCGACTATCCATGTGCCAGAGTTCACCTCACCAGGCAGTTGCTGCACTCCCCATCCACTAAAACCGCAAATCACCATAATATCATTTGGGTCAGCTGTGCCATCTTCAATCTTCTTCTGCAGTACATCATAGTTTCCATCCACCCAAAGTGAACGAGAGAGGGGAATGGCATCATCCACGTCAGGAATACGGTGTAGTAGTAATATACTGGAGTCAAAAGAACCACGACTGACCGGTCCTCCAATCATAACAGTGTGATTACTGAGGTGTTTACCCAGAATAGGATGTACATGATTTAAACGAATCGTCGCACTTACTGGCATTAACATACCTTCCTCATTCTCTAAAGGTTTGTTCAAAACAAATGCCGCTGATTCATTAGGGGTGGCACGAACCACAATCATAACAGTATAGCGAAAGAAATCATATAATTGAGGATGTGCCAACAACAATTGTACTGTTTTAGGAGTTTCAAAAGGTGTCTTACTAGGAGTTTTACTGCTACTACTACTCTGTGATTCTTCCCCACCTTCGATGGTTTCTTTTTCCAATGTTACATCTCCTGTTGAAATGCCCATATCTTTCTCTTCCATACCCACTTGTTCCAATGCATCTGATAGTCCTTTTGTGAGAGAGAGATGATGCATTTCTTCCACCTTACTTACCACTGTTAGTTTGGGTTTTGGCATAGTTGCAGCCAATTCAGGTGGTGGGACCACACTGCTGGAGTGTTTTTCCGCCATATCTGTCACATATGCAAGTTCTTTAAGTACTGCGAAAGCCCTGTTCAGTTGAGTTACTGTAAAAGGTGTACTTTCAAAAGATTCTCGAAGTGTCTGTAAAAGTCCTAATGGCATTGAAGTATTTCCAGTTCCTTTACTACCAACATCTGTATTACTCTTGCTTTCAGCACGCTTGATAGCACCATCACTATCACTATTACCTCCACTGTTACTACTACCACTGCTACTACTCCTACTACTAGTACTACTGCCGCTGCTGGTAGTTGTAGTTGTAGTTGTAGGAGTATTCTTCTTGGGGGCTTTGGAGTTGTTGTTCTTTGCAGAATTCTCTTCTTCCATTGGGATAAAGAATTCCCTCCCACTATTCAGTCTGCGTATAAAGTTGTCCAGAAATACACGCGACTCTGGCCATCCCGCCTGCTTTGCCACATCAATGGAGACCCAGTCACCGCGGCGGTGATCGTACACTCGCTGCGGAGAACATGTTAACACGGAGCGCATGGCGATATCTCTCTCTACTTTGTAGGCTTTCTTGTAAATCTGCCGATACACTGTGCGGACAATCTTCTCCATCTTCCTTATCCTCCCCTTCTCTACATTATCGTACAAAATATATTTATATATTTACAAAGAATAAGAATGAAAACAAGAGTGAGAGAAAGAGAGTAGTCGTAAAGGGATTAGGTATGAAAAATAAAAAAAAAAGAGAGAATAGGAAAAGGAATAAAATTTGCATAAAAAAAGGATTTTTTTTTTTTTTTGTCATCGTATGGATTTACTCCATGTGTTGATGAAGGAAAAAATAATAATGAAATAAAGAGAAATTAGACCTCTCTTTTTTTTTTTTTCATTATTATTCTTTCCTTTCTTCTTTGTATCCTTTCTTGTTGCTGCTGTCGTCGCTAACATATTCTCTGTAGTGAATAATTCACCATTCATGTTATTGGTTAATCCACTGTTACTCTCACGGAATTCACCATAAAACCACATAAAAAAGTGCTGCATCTCCACGCAGACACACAAACACACAAACACACCCTCCAAACATTATATATATATATATATATATATATATATATATATGCAGCAACACAAAAGCACAGCAAAAAGGGAAATATATGGAAAAGAAAATATCAATAACTATTGAATGAAGAGGGAAAGAAGAATATAGAAAAAAAAAGGAGAGGAAAGAAGAAGAGTAAAGAGAAAAAAAAAAAACACTAGCACCACCCTTTTTTTTCCCCATTTCCCTCTTCCTTTTCCTCTCCTCCTCCTTCTTCTACTTTTTCTCTCGTGTATCCCTCTGTTTACATCATATCCTCTGATGGTTCTTCCACTTCCGTTTCTTTCCCACCAGCACCCGTTCGCCGTGCTACTAAATTCATTGGATTTCCCTTACGTGACTCACGCAGCTGGGCGGCGTTATCAATATACCGCTGCTGCTCCCACGCCTCCTCCAGGAGATTCCACATACGCCACGTTACCACAGCAGCCATTGGCCCTAATGGAAGAAACATACGATTGTGATAAATAGTAAGATAGAAACCCATCGCCGTCGCCACAGAAGATACACCAGTAAGCCCAAAGAGACTCCATTGATAAAAGAAAATACCCCACGAAGCACTTGCATGTTCTTTTAGCAATCGTGTAGTACTTTCTTTAGAAATGGCTCCTTCTGCTAATCCTGTTGTTCCTCCTCCTCCTCCACTGGATGTACTAACCGCATTTCGTGAAATCACCTGAATATCCCCACCGGTGGTGCGTAGATGCTCAACATGTTGTTTATACCGCATTTGACGAGCAAAGTCATCGAATACAGAAAAAAGAGCCCCACGATGAATTTCTTCATATGTGAGTTTAACAGGTGCTGCGCGTTTAATAACAGGAGCGGGAGACGCTGCAACACTTAGTGAGGCTGGCTGCTGCATGATCCTCTCCCTATTTTCACCTCCCACAGACTATATATTTAGTGAACAAATAAATAAAATAAATAAATAAATATATGTGTGAGATTACTACTACTATTACTACTACACTCATTACAGTAAAAAAAAAAAAAATTATATTAAAACAGAGAAAGGATTAAAAAGGAAAAGAAAAGAAAAAAAACGCATACACAAAAAAAAACCTGTCATCAGAGATTTCACACTCACTATATTCTTATTCGAATTTCTTCTTACTTTTTCATTTTTTTTTTTTTTTTTGAATCTACACCTTTTTTTTTTTTTCTTGCTCTCCTTTCAATAGACATGAGAATTAAAAGATAAATTACTCTCTTTGAATGTGCGGGGTGGGTATGCTCAAAAAACATGTCAACCACATTAAATACGCAAAACTAATAGAAAAGAAAAAGGACTCAAGCAAAGAGAAAAATAAATAAATAAATAAATAAACTACAGAGTCTCCATTACGCATTGGATTTTATCTCACTTGTAGAGTCTCTAAAAGGTGAGTTGGTGTATGTACCTGTTATAGGACTATTTGAAATCACATTGGGAGGAAGTGTGGGTCTTCTTATCTCCATCCTTCGTTGTTGTTGTTTTTCTGATGAGGGAAGTACATTATCGCTACCCGTCTCATCCTGGAGTCTGCTAACAGAACAATGCGATGCAGTCTTCTCGTGCTGAGGAGGGGAAACCACATACCGCTCCGCATCATCCACAGTCACCGCATTATTAGTATTATCCACATTGTCAGTAGCATTGTTAGTAACAAGAGAATAGGGTAAACCAGGGGATTCAACATTCAGACGTTGTTGCTGCTGCAATAGTGTATTCTGCTCCTTGGCAAGTTTCTGATGTAACTCCGTTTGTTTAGCTCTTTCTGAGAGTATCGCTTCCAGTTCCTTCTTAAGATGTATAGTATCCTCCTCCAGTTCTGCACGACGACGACAAAACAATTCCTTATCATGATTAAGAAGTTCCTTTGCCGCCTCCAGTTTTGCAATTTCTTGAGTCACTTCACACTCTTGCGCTCCTGCTGCCTCTTGCTCTGTTAACAACTGCAGTAAGGATTCTACCAGATGTACCCAACATAATTCAGTTTCGCGTCGCTCCGCTAAAACGTTGTTGTATTCTTTTTCCATCAAGTAATGGAGATGACGCCACTGCTCTCTCATTTGTGTACGATGCTCTACAAGTGAATGACTGCGTTCTGCGATAAGATCCATCGTATTTACTACAGCAGTGGCTATTGGTATATGAGCACGTGCACTCTCAACATTAACAGTGTTCCCACCATCACTATTATTATTAGTAGTAGTAGTAGAAATATCATCAATCTGCGGTATTTCTAATCCCCAATGCAGTAGTTCTTGCTGTTCTCGCCCCCATGCGGTACGAAGAAGCTCCACACTTGCAAAATGTGATTCCTGTGCGAGTCGCTGTTGTCGTACGGTTTGAACTTCTTCCTGTAATTTATTTAATATAACGGCGTGTAACTCATTACAGCGTTGACGAGTGACAAACAGTTCCTGTTGGTGTTTCCGCACATCCTCTAAAAGTGTGTTGACGGCAGCCTCCTTCTCCTGTACAGCCATACGCAGAGCGAGTTCCTCGTTGTTGAGAAAGAGATGTCCTTCACCCTCCACACGAAGTGCCTTATTTCTCGCCATCTGCTGTCGTGTCTGCTGCTGAACTGCAGACTCCAATTCTCGCACAACGCAGGTACAAGATTCTGCCTTTGCAATACATAAAGCTTTCACTCTATCGTGTTCGTGTGTAATGTTTTCACTACGATCCCGTTCACTTAATCGCCGCAATCGCTCTAGTTGTTCTTGCAATGTCTCCACTTCAGCCCGCTGCAGTTTCTCTAATACGGCTTGTTCCACCTGACAACGATTCTCCAAGTCTGCACGTTGACTCTGGGCGGTGGTTTCATCACTATCAGAGACTGCGGCTGCTTTGCGTCGCACATACTCAAATGATTCTGTTGCGAGTTTCTCAAATCGCCGAGCAGACTCTTCTAGTTTCGTTGCAACATCTTTTACTCGTGTTTCCAATCGTTTTTTAGCACATAAACGCAACTGTGCTGTGGCCTTTTGTAGTCCTTCACGCACAGTTGTCATGTTACGTATTTTTTCTTCTGCACGATACTGGAAGAAATCGCGATACCGCTGTAAGAATTCTTGCATGAACTCAGCAAGTTCTTCTTTACGTGATAAAATATCCTGCATGTATGTTACTTCTCGTTTCTTGCGTGTTTCCTGTGCAACTTCCCTTGTCTCTTGATGAATAAACTCTACTACTCCATTTGTAAGTGAGTCTAGTCGTTCATTATGATGTTGACGTAGAATACGAAGTGCAGCATTCATTTTCCTTTCTACACTACTAAGACCATTAACAACACTACCCTCACCAGTGCTTTTATTTTCTTCATCATTATTATTATCAGTAGCAGCAGCAATAGTTTCTTCTTTTTCTTTTTTTTCTTCTTCTTCTTCTTCTAAAGCAATAAAAATTCCCTTCTCATCATATCTATGGTTTTGTAGCAGTAACTCACGTTGCTGCAACAATTCTTCTATTATATTCTCTTTTTCTTCTGCTTCCGCAGTTAGACTTTTCAACTGTGCCTTGTACCGTTCCTTCTCTGCAGCTCCCACTACCTCCTCCTGTTGTTTCAAGAGATCTGCAGTTCGGTCTCGTACCTCTTGTATTCGTCTCTGGTGATGGGCGTCGTATTTCTCTTGTTCAGCCATTATATTCTCTTCTTGTTTTGCAAACTCCATCTGTTTTTCTATTATTTTCGTTTCCATCTCAGTTAGTTCCGTATCTGACTTGATTTGAAGTGTATCTAATGTATTTTGCATCTGTGTAATTTCCATTTCAACAGCATCCATGGAAGATAAAAGATCACGGTACTCCGCCCGACGTTTCTCCTCCTCACTCTTTACGTTTTGTAAAGAAGAAGAAGAAACCGTATTGGCATCAGCAGTAGTAATAACATCACCATTTCCTCTCTCTCCTGTCGCCGCAGTTCGCCTGGAGGAGACTGGACCTTCAAGAAAACCAAGTGGATCATCATCACTATTGTTGTTATCATCCACTGCAACGGTCTCTTGTTGAACTCTCATATTAGGATTAGGCTTTGGAAGTGCAGAGCGTGCAGTTGCAGGTGTTTGCTCTCGTGTATTGGGCGATGGCTCATCGTCTATTTCCCACGGCATGGGTTCATCTTCTACCACTGTCGTCGTTTTTGGCATTGCAGTTCCTCTTGTTGCAAATGGCTGTTGTTGTTGTTGTTGTTGTGCTGAATCTTTCATTGGCAGTACATTACGTCTGCCTCGACGTCCCTCCATTCCCGCAAACGGGGCACCGGCAATTGTTGGAATAGTATTAGTAGTAGTATTAGTAATATTAGTAGTAGTTGGGATAGTGACGGTAGCTGTGGAGAGTGTTGGTACAGCAGGAGATGCCCCAATGGACCTGCTTCCCTTTCCAGCGGCGAATTCTGCCATAAGAGCATCGAGTGAGCTCAAATCATCTGCAAAAGGATTATCAACGTTCATCCTCAGCCTTTCCCCCAACTCCGCTCTCCAAATAAAAATAAAAAAATGAGAGAAATGAAAGTAAAGAAAAAAAACAAAAAAAACTAAAAGAAAAAAAAAGTCTCTGCCTTTGTGAAGAAAAAGAAAAAAAATGTAAAAAAAGAAAAAAAAAAGAAATCAAGAGTATATGTGAAGAAAACAAACATATTGACATTATGTACGTATATATTTGACATTTTGTGTCTAATGGAAAAAGGACATCTTCTATCCATTTGAATAGTTCTCAAGCAACACTCATTTCATTGCAAACACATACACACACACACACATGTACACAACTATAGGTAAAAAAAAAAGGATTTTGCGTGTATATCAAACAAAAAATTTACCCATCAATGAATACAATTTACATGATTTTTCTTTTCGTTTTTTTTTTTTTTTGTTTGTTTGTTCTGCCCTCCACATCTTTCTTCTCTTTTTTTTTCCTCTTTTTGCTCGCTAATCATTTCACAAATCGCCCATCTCATTTATTTTCATTTGTGTTTTCTTTTTTTTTTTTTTTGCTTCCCATAATATCTATAAATATATATATATATGATACTCTCCTGTTTATCATTTCGCTGTTTGTGTTCGCTCCTTGTCACTCTTAACCCCTTCAGAGATTCCACTCTTCGCACATGTGCATGGTGTCATGTACACCCCGGGTGGTGGTGGTGGTGGGGAAGGGAGAAAGGATAGAAAACAAGTGAATAAAGGGAAACAGCAAAGAAAAGGGTCAAAAGAAAAGGAGAAGAACAGAAATAAAGGTTCAGGGTATGCTTGATTACATCAGTCAATCTCATAAAAAGAAGAACAAAAACACAAAAAGAAAAAAAAAGAAAAGAAAAACAGAACAAACGAGGAGGTTTCAATCCTTGATTCACTCTACGTCACTCGCCACGACTTGGTTCCCCGGAAGACGTTGATAACATGTTTGGTTGATAAAGAAGAGTAACGCCTTAATTATCTTCTCCTTATCCTCCCACGAGAGATCGTCTAAGTATGCCCCATCGCCACTCTCTCCGAGATCTACATTCAAGACATTATTGCTATTGTTGTTAATAGTCTTGTTAAAACATCCGCCAGTGGTAGTACCGGCGTTGATAGCAACTTCTTTTGACAGTTTCAATCCACTACCTACACGTCGCCGATGGGGTTCTAAAGACTGTGCTGTTGGTGCAACAACAACTGCTGGACCAGTAACTGGGGTGGGAACTGTTGAAGAAGTGAGAAGACTTGTGCGAGATTCTGTAAGGAATGTTGCAGCACCTCCCAAACCCTGCCCTGTAGAAGCCACAGTATGAGATTTTGAAGATTGTTGTTGTTCCTCTTTCTCTTGTTGTTGATGTTGTTGTTGTTGTTGTGGGCGAAACCCACTGCTATTGACATTCCTCATTTCCACGTTATGAATAGATGATGGCTTCTGCGGTACTGCTGGTGGTGACGGTGATAAAGACGAAGTTGAGGTGATTTGTTTATGCTGCTGTTGTGGCTGTCGATGTTGTGGGAGCGGGCGACCAGGAACTGGGGTAGACCTAGCATGATGTGATGTTCCAGCTCGCATGCGACGTACATCCTTTAATGCAACGTAGAAGAAACGTTCAAGATCTGAACGCTGTGCTACAACAGTAGAAGCTATTTGACGCATACGCTGCAATTCGGTTCGGTGAGTTTGAAGCGAAGCACGGGTCTCAGCCAGGGTTTTCTCTAGTGTTTCTATTTGTTTCTCATATTGACGAGCAAGATCATTACGGATGGTACGATTCTCATGAAGTAGCTCCTTCACACGACTCTCTAACTGTTGTGTCTTTACGGCGGCTTCACGTGCACGTTGATTTCCGTGGACGATACGTCGTAGTGCCTCTGTACATGCGTGTTCCTGGAGTTCCCCACGACGTCGTACTCCTGCCCCTTCCTCATGCTGAGCGGTGGTGAGTCGGACGAGTTCTTCAATATCGTACGTGAGGCGTTCTCGTTCTTCCATGAGGGCGGCGTGATCCTGAATGAGGGCTGCGCTTCGCTGCTCCAGCAACTTCCCTGCTGCCTCCTCCACATGTTGTCTAAACTCCTCCCGCATGGCGGACTCTAGTGCGATGAGGCGTACTTTACGGTCCACTGTCTGAAATCGCAGGGCGGCGAGTTCCGCGTCGTGTGCGGCGACCGCCTCGTCCAATGCGGCCCGAAGCCGTTCGCGTTCCGCCGCCGCCGCCGCAGCCCGCCCGTGGCCGGAGGCGGAGGCCGCCGTCTGCAGCCGCCGGGCGACCGCCCCGAGGGCCGCGAGTTGTTCGTCGCGCTCGGCGATGGCCCGCTCGTACTCCTCGCGCAGCGCCGCGGCCGACGTGGAGGCCTCCGCGAGGAGCCGCTGCACCTCCGCCCGCTGCCCCGCCGCCTCCGCCCGCGCCGCCCGGAGATCGCCCTCCAGCCGCTCCACCACTTGAATGGAGTCCCGCTCCTGCCGCTCGAGGGCCGCCCGCAGCTCCGCATTCGCGCGGGAAAGTGCATCGCAGCGCTCCGAGTACTCCGCCACGGCGGCGCGGGACACACGGAGGTCTGCGTTCGCGAAGGTGGAGGCGACAACATCCGCCGGCAGCGGAGTACCGCCGCGGTGGGTCACATCCGGCAGAGACGAGGTAGTGGACACCGCCCCCATGCCCGCAAGGTTCCCACTACGGCGGGAACGACTGGGACGCGGGGCTAACCTCGTCGGCATTTCAAACTACTAACGCCTATTTCCCACACACTATCACACTCTCAAGTTACAAGATGTGTCAACGTACCGTCCAGCTCCCTCCGTAGATTAAAAAGAAGAGAAAGAAATAAAAGAAAAAAAAAAAAGAAAAAAAAAACAAGTAGCTCTGTAAGAAAGATCAAAAGAGACACAAAAAAGAAGAAAAGAAAAAAAAAGACAAGCACAAATCCCAGGAAAGAGTTCGTATTTCTCTCTTATTTCTTCGTCCACAGGTATAACAAGAAAATACAAGCATACACAAATACGCACATATTGTTTTTATATGGTGTCCTTTTGGGGATGCATATTCGTCTTGTAAGTAGAGTTTGTAGAGAGTTTTTTTTTATTACTCACACACCTCCGCAAAGAGCAGCCGTACACCACGCTTATTTATTATATTTCTTTAATACGTATATATTCCTTTTCTTCCTCCAGCATTTATCCTCGTTTGTTTTCCTCGCTTTAATTTTGCGTTGAACGCTCCTTTTTTTTTGTAAATAATAAAAAAAAAAAAAACAATAATGTTGCTCATTGTGTTGCTCGTATGTTGTTGTTAGTGATATCTACTCCCTTGCGTTGCTGCTGCCGCCGCTCTCTTTTGACGCGGTTCTTGTGGTGGTGGTAGTGACCCAATAACTTATCGTCACATTCCCTTTTACCCATTTTCTTCCTCCTTCAACTTTTTTTTCCCATTTTTCTTCTTTTTTTGAAAAAAAGAACAAAAACGGAAAAACTAAAACAGCACTATTAACATCTCATCCCTATCTTCTCTGTCATTTCTAACAGAGTGATTAAAAAAAAATTTTTAAATGCTGTTGTCGCCTCTTCTTTTCTCTTCTCTTCTTTTCTACTTCTTTCCCTCACCATCTTCGTCATTATTCTCTTCCCCACCCTCACTATCGTCATCATCACCTTGCTCCATCCATCGACGTTCCTCTTCAAGACGCTCCTTTGAACGCAATTCACTTCGCTGCACAAACGGGTTTGTCGGGCTTTTCTGCCACATTTCCCACAGCAAGTCATTATATTGTGTACGACGTAAACCGGGTTTCTCTTCACGCAATGTAGGAAGATTTTCTTCACAGAAGTGTCGGTAAAGAACACGTGCACGTTTGCCGATATGACGATTATCCGGCACAGAAGGACCACCTGTCATACCCGATTGAACCGCTGACAAAACTTCGCCAACACTACCGCTGGCCTTAATTTCATTTCCGTTCTTTTCATTGAATCCAGCATTGGTATTTGTGTTCCCTGCCCTATTAGGATTCCCTCCCACTGGCAATGCCGTAGTCTCACTATTCACGACTGCCCCATGTTTCTGCTGTTCCTCTTGTTTCTTCACTTTATCATAATCGCTAAGCATCTTTGACAAGTCCTTCTGAATTTGTCGTCGTGTAACTTTCTGCGGTGCCTTCTGGCTTAGTTCGCGCTCCTCCTGCAAGAGTTGCTCTTTCCGCTCTGCTCTTAACTCTGCTTGTTGTTGCGCCTTCGCCTCGGCCTCCCGCTGTCGTGCCTGTCGCCGCTGCACTCGCGGGTCGTCATCGCAGTTAGCCCACATTGCATCTTCTTTAGCTTTTTCCCGTTCCGCTTTTGCTTGCGCTTCGCGTTCTTGCTGCCGTTCACGGGCTTCCGCTGCGTGGCGATTAGTAAATTTGTTTGACTTGGGTCCGCTTGGCATTGCCTCGCTGAATGTTAAGATAACTGTGTGTTAGATCTGTAGATGTTTAGAGATGAATAGATGTAGATGGACGTAATGTCTCAATCTCACACTGCCGTGGGGTACGGATATACACATTGTATAGACACAGGAAAAAAGGAAAAGAAAAAGAAAGAAAATGTATGTGTACAGAAAAGTAAACGATAATTAGGAATGGTAATAATGAAGAGTACTATACATATATAAGTGTATAATGAATTCCAAATAACGCAAAGCATAACAATAATAAAAAAAAAGAAAATAAGATTAAACAGAAGCAAATAAAAACAGTTATTGAAAGAACTGCTTTTTTTTTTCATCTCGCTTCAGAATACCCTTTCTTCTTCTTCCTCTTCGACAGTTATAGCCATCCCCATAACTGGACTGACTGAGTGACTGACTGAGAAGGTGTTATTTACTTCAAACACACGCCAACCACACTATCACCACGTATAATAGGAGAGAAATGAAGTTGTTTCAGTGCAGCAGCTCGACAGTTCTCTGCTATTACACGCACAAGTTGCACACCCTCCTCTTCACTACGATAAACTAAATTACTTCGTTTAAGTAATGTCTTGGTTGCGTTCTGTACAACAAGAAGCGATGAGGATGACAATGCTGCTGATGATGATGATGATGATGATAATAATGATGTCTCAGAACCTGAAAGTGGAAACGCACATAGTACTGTGATTCTACCAATAGGCACAACTCCACGTTTTAACTCTGGTACTTCGTGGCCATCATACAAATGCATAGACTCCACAACGTCATCCATACAACGACGTGCATGTGTATTTCGTTCGGATGCGTTGAAGTAACTTGTCTGTATACCAGTCACATCCACTACACGGCGTCCACGCAGTGAAGCTGGTGTGGCAGAGCTCATCTTCACAACAATATCCCCCGCAGAGAGTGGTGGAAGTTTTCTAGATGGAGCTATTGCCTCTTCCCTCTGTATGAGAGCACCATTCTTACCCATTGTTTCTCTTTTTCCCCCAAATCGTCGCTCGTAGTAGGAATTACCGAGCAAACTCAATGGGGCACTGCCGCTAGAGAGAACAGCGGAGTACAGCAGTGGCCCATTAGGCGTCAGTCGTCTTCCCCAAAAACAGCGACCCGTAACAACTGGCAAGGTAGACATGAGTTTATTTGTATTTATATATATATATATATTATTTGTGTTTCTTGTATTGTACTACTATTGATGCTGTTCTAGTAAGAAGAATAGTGACGTTACAAATAGAAAAAAAAAAAAAGAAGAGAACATAGAAAAAATATAATCTGGAAAGAACAACTTTTGAATATTCACTTCAAAAAAAAAAAAAATTACTTATTATATAATAATTCAGAACAAACGAAAAAAAATGTCAACATGACACAAACACACAGAGAAAGATAGACAGATAGACGCAAAAGCCACAATCATCATCATCATCTTCAGAAAGCAGAAGCGAGATATAGATAGCAGACGTCATTGCTGGTTTCGTTCCCCCATCTCACTCATCATCAGTATAAACTTACACTCTCATTTACTTAATAATAGTAATAGTAGCAATAGTAGTAGTAATTGTTGTTGTTGTTTCTTTCTACCCTTTTTTTTTTTCTTCTTCTTTCTCTTCCTTTAGTTCTGTTCAGTTAATGGGAAGGTACGGGCACGTTGAAGCTATACTGTTGATCCATTCCAATGTAAGAATCACATACAAGGTATACGTTCAGTTTTACCATGTTGTGTTCCGCAAAGTCCATCCAATCATCATCCCAATCAAAACGCAGTGTTGCGGAGGTGTGTGATTGGAGGCGATTCACACGTTTCATTGCAATCAACTCGCCTGTATTTTCATTTCCTATAATGATCCAATACTGTTCATCCTTTGGTTTGGTAAAACGAGGGGCAACAACATGTTTTCCAGCCACGGAAAGTCGAGTCATATACACGGTTAACTCATACTCCGCCTCTTCTTCTTCCTCTTCTTCTTTTGTATCTATGGATACTTCTTTTTGTCCTTGATGAAGATATGGCTTTCCACCCTTATCATTAGATTTCGTATCGATGTTATTGTTTTGATTAACGCGGGCAAGATGAATTTGCACATCAATGAGAGGAAACCCACAGACCGCATTCATCGCCTCCCGCACTTGTACTGGAGTGAGTTCACACTTATCACGTAAAACATCTTGTAGTTTTTGTAGAGTTGCAAGTGGTGCATTTGCAATTTGAGCTGCATGCTCTATATTTCCACAATGGGATGAAATGATAGGCAACATCGCTTCAGTAATGTGTGGAATTTGCAAAAGTGTATGTGAATACCACCATAGACCTTGAACCATACACTGTAGTAATGCCATGGAGCGTAGAGATGCATACAAGTGTCCATTATTAGCGGTGATATCTACCATTGCTTGAATAATACGAACCGCATTATCTAAAGCTGTTTTTTGATCTGTATAGTAATCTGAAATGGGTAATGCACTTCTTTCAAAATGGGCTTGAAAGAGTAAAAAGGCCTTCACATGTGGGGAATCTGCATTATTTGGGTTAATTGCAAGTGGTAGAGTTTGACTAAGCATAAGATTGAGTTTATCTTCATTGTGTCGCACAGGAAGTTCATTAAACTCCTCTGCTGCGCATAATGCTTTTAACACATCCACCTGAGAACTTCCTGCATGGATTTGCACATCAAAGTAGTGAACCGTCTTGTGTGAGAGATAGTAATAAGAACAAAGTTTTCCGAGAACTGTATACGTCAAGGCATTAGGATCTCGCTCTCTATTACTATTATTATCATCATCCATCCTTTTTTCTCTTCTCCTTTCATCATAAATACCTCCTCCACCACCACTAGCCGCATTATTGTTATCATCATTATTATCATAATCATCATCTTCACAGTGTGGTGATTCAATACATCCACAAGCCTCGAGTTCATCAAGAACGTTGGCAACAAGAGTAGAAAGAAATATAGTAACCGACTTGGGAGATCGATCTTCCAGACCGTAATAAGATGGATTCTTTACAAGTCGTCGGAATAAATAAGTCCATGTTAAATAGTCTACGGCATCTTGTCGTGTAGTAATAGTACCAGCCACAATTTCAGCATTTATGTGTACATGTAACTGTTTGTGTAGAGCACTCTCAACAGGAAATGGATCGTAGAGAAATTTACGATAAAATCCCTTTTTAGGTTCATGACAGAGTACTTGAGCTACACCTTCCGTATCAAATTGTGGACGACCAGCTCTTCCAATCATTTGCAGTACATCCGTAATTGGATAATCTATATAAGTCTTTGTTTTTCCATCATAATATTCCGTACCTTTTACCACTACCATATGTGCAGGAAAGTTAACACCCCATGCTAATGTAGAAGTGGCTACTAGTATTTGTAGTTTACCAGAGAGAAAGGCATTTTCAACGACGGTGCGATCCCCTTCCAGTAAACCGGCATGATGAACCCCAACACCAAATTGCATACAATGTTTAACATATGGATCACTCACACGTGCAGAAAGTGCCGCCACCTCTTCCACATCCATTCGTACAAATTTTGCTGTATTTTGTTCTACCAATAAAAATCCAATAAGAGCCATAGCTGTTAATCGTGTTTGTCGTCGTGATGAGACGAATACAATAACCGGTTTATCTGGACTCTTCTCACAGATCGCATTATACATTGGTTTATTCATTGCCGCCATACGAGGACAATAGTTTCTACCATGATAACCAGCAATATAAACTCGCATGGGTACTGGACGTACAGAAGGATCAAAATTAAATATTGCCCACTTCTCTTGTACACCAAGCCATGAACTGAGATCCGATGGATTCGCAACAGCTGTAGAAAGTCCAATGAGACGAATAGGTGCCTTTCGATGCCAACCAATATACCGCATACGACTTACAATTACTTCTAGAATAGGTCCACGATCTGTGCCAAGCATATGAATCTCATCAAAGATAACTAGACGAACCGCCGTTACGTAGCGACGTACTTGCCAACTACGTGAAAGACCATCCCACTTCTCTGGTGTTGTGCAGAGAATATCCGCCTGGACAAGTGCGGTGATATCCGGTGTGACATCCCCAGAAAGTTCTACTACACGTCTACCCAGACATTTATCAAAACGTGTGGACCAATCTTTTACACGTTCCTTTACAAGTGCTTTTAATGGGGCTATATAGACAATTTTGGATCCTGGTGGGTAATTTTCAAATACACGTAATATAGCCATTTCTGCTGCCACTGTTTTTCCACTTCCTGTTGGGGCACCAAGAAAGATACTACTATCTGTATGAAACATAGCATGAAATACTTGTGTCTGGACAGCATTAAAATGTGGATATCGTTCATAGATTGGATGATATATAGATGGAATAACTTCAAGACGAAGAGGGGCAAGTTGTAAAAGACGTGTAGTAGTTTGTGTATCATCTGGTAAATGTAAATGGGCAATAGAAAAGGTATAATCTTCACGGCAACCAAGCCAACGATCACTATAGAGTCGTACAGAGTACATATCGTACTCGGGAACTATAGGAACAGAGAGATTCACCACTTGTGGTATTCCTGCCTCTACATCTTTGCGTTTTAATGAAACCATTTCATGATGAAAGATAAAATGATTATCCTGATCTTCCACTAATAACCAAAACTGTTCATTAGAACCATGATATCGACTATTCCAAGTAAAGGTTGCGGTAATAGTTACCTTCACACGTAAAATAGTACGAGTAACCGGTTGAACATCTACAGCCAATTCTACAGATGGAAATGATGCCACTAAATTAGCAATCACAGCTCCAAAACGTTGATTGTGTACAAGTGATCCAATTTCTTTCGCCGTCATCTCTTGTAAAGTTGTCATTGTTGGTCGTTTGGTTTCCAGTCGAATTCGAACCGCATCTGTAAAATCAACATTAAATTGTAAAAGTGGGTGTTGAAATTCCCAACATTGTTGTTCTAAACATTTACAAAGGGAAAGAAATGCTGCTGTGGATAATGGATGTCCTCTTTGCATTTCTATTTCAAAGAGTGCACGTGCAATTCGAGGTGCATTTTGAACCACATAGTTTACATCTGAGGCAAGAGAATGCATCTCAACATGCATACGGCTAATATAAGCCTTCATAAGTGTTGTCACCTTCCATTCCACACTGGTCTCATCTGCACTTTCACCAACTATAGCATAACGTTGAACTTGTTTTGGTAATGCGGCGTGAATTTTTTTTAATTCATCCAATTCCTCTTGTCTTACACGAAGTTGTGAAAACTCATTCGCACAGGCTACAATATTCATAGCAGCTCCCATATCTAAACTATCAATCCATGTTTCATCTGGACGTCGCATTTTCATATTAAAGGTTCCAATAGATTCATGAGAAATATAGTAATGACTTGCTATTCTACCTAAATCTGTAGTATCTACCGCACCTGTTTCTGGATTATATCGAATCATACCAGCATTTGCTAATTCTTCTGCAGCTTTACTTACAAGTTCATATCGTACAGTTTTAAGTTTTGGATCTCGTCGTACATCCGCAATCTTTAATCCATACAATAATGGATTTACCCTTACACGTTGCCACATATATGTGTATTCCAACCACCTAGATCCTTCTACAATAGAAGAAATAGTTCCAGCGTGAATCTCCGCATTAAGATGATCACAGAGACCCTTTTGTAATTGACTTTCAATAGGAAGGGCATTTGCAAGTAAACGTAAATAGTGTCCAACATCCTTCTCATCCGATACAATAATACCATGACCACTCGTATCATACTGTGGTCTACCCGCACGACCAAATATCTGCATAACATCCAACACAGAGATATGAACAAGACCACCACGTTTAGGATCATAGAGGTGAGTTCCACGAATAATAACAGTATGGGCTGGTAAATTTACACCCCATGCAAGTGTACTCGTACAGACAAGTACTTTTATATAACCATCACGAAATAAACTTTCTGTTGCCGTACGATCATGACGAATAAGACCTGCATGATGAGCTCCAAAACCAGCTGCAAAAAGAGAAGAAAGATCACGTCCTTGTAAATTGCGTCCTCGTTTTGTTGCCTCTGTTGGAATCGTACTATTTGGTTTAAAGAGTCCTTCTTGTCCATGTTTGGTTGCCTCTTCCATAAAGTACTTTGCCAATCCAATCGTTTGTTTACGTGAATGAACAAATACCATTACTTGATGTCCCTCTCGCACATTTCTTACTACTTCCTTATATGCAAGCCAATCCAATTGTTCTTCCTTATTCTTTGTCCCTGTTTGCAAACCTATAAATGTCTGTTCGAGTGGTACTGGTCGGTACTCGGGGCCAAACACTTTCAATCCCTCTTCAAGATCTACACGTAGAAAGTTAGCCACATCCTTATAGTTTGGAAGTGTAGCGGAAAGACCCACAAGACGTATAGGTCGTTGTTGTTGATCGGATTGAACTTCATTTTGACGGAGTGTACGAGCCACTATAGCTTCTAGTACAGGTCCACGATCTTCATTCAATAAGTGAATTTCATCAATTACAATTAATCGAACTTGTTGTACAAGATCTTCATTACTTTGTTTACGTGTAATGACATCCCATTTCTCTGGTGTTGTAACGATAACCTGTGTTTGGGCAACTTCACGCTTTGTTAATTGCATATCACCTGTGAGTTCACGAACTTCCATTGCAAAAGGTGCTAATCGGCGTGAGAAGTTCTCTACCATTTCTTGTGCAAGTGCCTTCATAGGAGCAATAAAGATAATTTTAAAGTTACGATCGAGTTTTCCATTTTCAAAGTGTTCCTCTATACAACGTAACATTACTAACAGGGCACAGACAGTCTTACCTGCACCTGTAGGGGCACAAACTAACATATTCTGAGATGTATGAAATGCCGTTCGAAAGAGAGTTGATTGAATTGTATTTAAATGTGTAATTTTTTGAAAAGCTGCATGTGTCCATTCTGGTAAGGAAGTAGCAATACAAACACGTTGGGCTTCTGGTAATATCTTTTGATCAGGCGGTGGAACATGAATACGAATGTGATCCTTCTTCTGTAGTAGAGTGGCACCCCTTGGCATAGAAGAGCCAACAACACTAAGATCACGTTTAAAGATTTGATCTAATTCAGATTCCCGCATAAGTTGACGATATCGTTGTTGCATATGTGCTAACCAACGTTGATCTACAATCTCACCATTCTGTGCAAATGCCACTTCACGCGCCAAGGCACGTTGTTTAGCAGTTTTTACAAAACGAACCGTTAAGGCATGTTGAGGTGAGGCGGAAGTACTACCACTACTACTACTATTACCATTATTATTGTTGTTGTTATCATCATCATCCTCAAGTGTGCAGAATTCTTCCAGGAGTCGAAGAAAAATATCTCGTGGTCGATGCATTACACATTGAAGAAGATCGTAATGTTCATCACCGAGAGTTTGTAAAAGTTCATCAATTACACGTACACGCATCGCATCTCGTTGGTTCTGCGTATCACAAGATGTAATTCTATCCAGCGCGTTTAGAATAATTCGTGTCATGTCTTCATCAAAGTATACATATATCTGTGAAACAATATCATCTACACTAGATAAGAGTAAATCTAGTGGTACTTTGCGGTTCTCCTGATATGCAGAGCGAACCACACCTCCTACGCGATCACCTCTTGGTGAGAGAGGCTCACCGGAGTGGGTAGAGACTACAATAGACTGTTGTCGTTGCATGAACTGTCCAACAAAGGAACTCATACGTTGTTGTTGTTGTTCTCGTTGGTGTTGATTACTATTATGGTTTTCTTCGTCTGCCTTTATCATCGATAAATCTTCTAAAAGACTCGTTACGTTACTTGCAGAGCGGGAACGATGTTGTGTGCAGCTTGCTATCATTCCCTGCAGTCGGTTAATAACATTTAAAGCATCACTACTCAAATTCAACAAGAGATTCGTCTCTTTACGTTGTTGGTTTTGTTTCGGTGGTTGTTGTTGTTGTTGTTTTTGTTGCCGACTCTTCTGTACTTTTCTCTCTCCACTATGAGGAGATGCTTTCACCGTACCACTACTACCACTAATACCACTATTGTTATTATTATTATTGTTATTACTGCCGTTGTTATTGATATCATTGTTATTATTATTATTATTATTATTATTATTATTATTATTATTATTATTATTATTATTATTATTATTATTATTATTATTATTATTATTACTGTTCTTGTCGTTGTAGGCTGACCAGCATGAGTTGCAGTACCACTTCTTATCCTGTGGATCTTCAGCCCCCACATCATATGATTTGCATTGCTGGCATAAATTTCGTTTTGGCATGATCTCAATTTCTTTTTTTTTTTCTCTTTCGTTCTTTCGTTCTTTTCTTCTTTTTTTTCTTTTATTGTAGTGATGTCCTTCCAAACAAAAAATAAAAACCCTAGATAATGCAATAGGGATGGGGATAGGACAACTGAAGAGAAAGAAAGAAATAAAAAGAAAACTCAAGAGAAAAACAAATTAAAAAGAATATTAAGAGATAGCCAAATAAAATAAATAAATAAATAAATAAATAAATAAATAAATAAGTAATATTACAAAAAAAAAGGTTTCAAAGAATAATTTATTGGTATCTATGAATGTCCACGTTTTGCATTCACTTTACGTGGGTGATCATATTATACCATTCTCTTTCCTTTGTCTCCTTTTTTTTTTCTTTCTTTTTCTGTCCTCTGTATATGTTCACTAGGCATTCTTTTCCAATTGACCCAACACACCATATCTCCTGCCATTTACATATCCTCTCTCTCTCTCTCCATTCTGCTCACTTCTTTCGTTCTTTCTCGCTTTTTTTTTTTTTTTTTTTGTTTCTTCTTCTCTCCTTTCAAGAGAGGGAATTCGCCAGAAACATTCCTCTTCTTCCTCCTCTTCTTCTTCTTTAGAAACGAGTCCATCCTCATCCATGATGTCTTCCTTAACTGTACTGTAGTAAGATAGTGGTTTGCAAATGCGTGGTGGATGTCTCTGCTATTACAGACCACAACAAGGGAGGCTCCCCTGCAGAGACAACAGCAATTTTACGATTGCCACTCTTTTCTTCAGATGATAATTTATCGCTTTTAATGCAGTAAAAGTTATTGCGTCGTGAAATACCCGTGAGACTACAGTACGGTACGGAAAATCCGCTGTCTACACCGTGATACTTTGGACAGCAGTGCTTTAACACTGCAGAGACTACATCTGCGTGTGTCACCATCATAACTCGAGTGGGTGGCAATAATGCCGTATCTAATTGTTGTTGTTTCCCTTTTTCTTTCTCTTTTTCTTCTTGCTGTTGTTGTTGTGTTGCGGTACTGCGAGGCACAAATACACGTGGAAGACGTTGGGCCTCTTGTTGTACCGCCTCCCACACACACGCAGGCACAGTTGCCCTCTCTGCAGCGCCACCGTCAAAGTGTACACGAATTGCCTCAGAGACTCGACGCATTAAACTACTGGCATTCTCTGGATAACTAACACCACTAAACCCACCACCACCACTACTACTATTGTTGTTGTTATTATTATTATTAGTAGTAGTAGTAGTAATAGTGAGGTTATTACCTCCACCACTGTTACTATTACTGTTTCTGTTGGAGTTGGATGTGTGTTCGGTTCGTTCAGCCTCTACATTCATGCTGCGCTTCAGCAACTCCCGTGCGGAGGCGGAAGTCCAAACGAGAAAAGATGGTTCCTGCCGCAGCCAGTGTTTCTCCACTGTTGTGATCCACTCTTCCACCATCGTTTCCTCTAATGCATAGTGTTCATCTAACAAAATAGAACGAAAGAATGGCACTAACAACGTTCCCAGCGTCTCCCACTTTGGACGAAATCCAATAGTGTTTGCAGTACATATATATTGACCACCCAATCGTGGTGGTCGTGGAAATACTTTCGGGGAATGCCAATCGGAAAGCAGTGGATCTACAAATATAGCGAGTTTCCCATGAAAACCCACGAGATTCACAATAAGCGCCGTCTCTATACATCTGTGAAAGGGTGAAACAAGCATAAAGGAAAGCATTCCCTGTGCTCGCTGTCGTACCTTTGCCCGTTGTTGTTGCCGCAGAAACATCAGACCCGTTTCAAGTGCCTGTCGTCTCCCTGCAGTGGAGAGTGGTGGATCGTTTTCTGGCAGCCGCGTTGTGTTTCGCCACGCCCGGTCCACATGATCCAATCGCTCTCCATGCCGTAATAACAACAACTCATCTGTAAAGGCCACAGACTGCAGCCATTGATAATGTTGATGCTGATCCACCGATGGCCGTCGTGCCACTTGTGCATACTGTACAGAAGTCATGAGATGTACGGTACCCACATCCATATCTACATTCACATCTACATTAGAAGTATTGGGAGGCGATTCTTTCCATTGTGAAGATGTGCCGATAGTGTTTGGGTGTTTATGGCAGAGGAGACGAAGAAGCCATATAAGGATTGCTGTGCCAAGCGCGACGGTGAGGCACACCTGCAGCAGAAGCGAACTATTCAATTCCACGGTCAGTTGACTGCCTGACTTGATTCTGCCCAACCTCAACAAGGAATAAGAAAAAAGAAGAAAAAGAAAAAAAAGAGTATTTGGTTAACATATTAGTTCATATCGATTCATAAGAAGGAAGGGGGAAATTAAATAAATAAATAAATAAAAGAATAAATAGAGAAAAAAGAAAGCGATATAGACGCTTCCATTTCTCCTGGAATATATATGGTATTCCTTCTTTTTCTTTCTTTGCTTGTTTTCTTCTGAAGCATATAGTAAAAATAATAACATTTCATACACTGCACAACCGGTTCCCATCACCCAGTCTCACCCTATTACGGCTATAAAAGAGGTACACCTATTCCTCTTATTGCTCTCATTAACTCTTCTGCTGCTGCTGTTGCTGCTGGGGTTGTTGTTGTTGTTGTTGTTGTTGAAGTTCCTCCTGTAGCTTACCATACATCTGCATCAGGAGATCATGCTGTGCGGCGAGTGTTGACATTTTCTGCTGCATCTCTGCAGCTTCCTTCTCTACACGGCGAAGGCGTTCAATCTCAACAGCCTGTCGCACCAACTCCCGCTCCACCCGCCCACGGCCTCCACGACAATCACCACCAGGCACCTCATGGATATCTGGCTGAAACAACGCCAGTCGTACACCACTATTACTATTGTTATTATTCGTATCTGAGAAATGCAACGGAGTCCTTACAGGTTCCTTTACAGATTGCGAAAAAGAGACCGGTGAACTACTATTATTGTTATCATTTTCTTTTTTGAAGAGACTACCGCTATTATCATCATCGTCATGGATACCGCTGTTGTTGTTGTTATTATTATTACTACTATCATTGACTTTGATCTTACTACAACTATCCACCCGTCGTTTTGCCTCTTCAAGTGCAGCAGTCAAATTATCATTTGCCGCTTCCACTCGTGCAACACGTTCCAATGCACTATCTAATGATTTCTGCAGTTGTGATTGTCTAGTCTTCCACTGTACCAACTCTCGCTCAGTCGCAAGTTTCTCATCATGCATTAATTGTAGTTCTCTCTGCACATCTGCCAATTGTTGTCTATGACTCTCCATATCGGTTAGACGACCCCGTTTTAACGCCGCACACTCTTGTGTTGTATACTCCAACTCCTGCAGAAGTGATTTCTTCTGTCGTTCCACATCCTCCAGTGCACCCCGCATTTCCCGCAGTGGTGCTAATGAACCTCTTTCATGTTCTGTTAATCGTGTTTCTGCCTCATCTGCGCGGCGATTGGCTTGAATAAGTTTTCGCTCCACCTCCCGTAAACGATGTTCATACTCCACCTGAGTCCGCTGCAGAGATGAGATGAGACCTTCCTTCTCCCGGCGAAGACTCTCTAGTACATCGGATGTGTTTTCCTTTTGGAAACTCAATTCCGTCTTGTGGCGGGAGAGTTCCTCTTGATGTTCTTCTATGAGTTCCGCATGACGTTGTTTTGCCCGCATTATTTCTTGTTGCAATTCCTGTAAATAGTTTTGTTGTTGTTCTTGTTGTATACCGAGTTCGGATAACTGTTGTTGTGCCGCCTCGGACTCCACTCGACTTGTCTCTACACGATTTTTTAACTCTTCTTCTCGTCGTGCCGCATGTGCGAGTTTATCCTCCAATGAAGCAATACGCTCTTCAAATTGTACCTTCTTTTCTTGTAGTGTTTTATTACGTTCACGTTCTTTTCCTAATTGTGTGGAAAGCTCTAAACCCTCTCGTTCTAGTGCTACCAGTTTTTGTGGATCAACCGCACCTTTTCTAGCCTGACGTAAACTATTCACTTCCTTCTCAAGAGATGCTAGAGTACTGCTAAGACGATGATTCTCCTCACGGAGGATTCTCGACACTTCCATCTCTTCTGCCAACTGACGTTGAAAACGCAACAATTGGTCCTCACTCCCAACAGACTCAATCACTTCGTGTTGCATAAGGAGAAGTTGTGCAGATGTCTCTTGTTGAGATGCATCCTTCTTACTAGTGTGAAGGACAGCAGTCGCAGCCACACCAGTGGTAATAGCACTCGTAGCGGAGAGAGATACAGAATCAACGGGGATTAACTCCGACTCCGTAAGAGGAGGCAAAGTGGGAACCACATTGGAGGATATATGATCTCCTTCACTTTCCACTGTGGTTGAGGGCGGTAGTACGTCTTTTCCTGCTGGTGTCTCTAACACTTCTTCTGTTGTGTTCATCTTCTCTACAGATGTGGATCTCTCGTGGTTTACTGGTAATGTCTCCTTCACTATTTGGTTATCATTCGTCATGTTACTTTCGGTAATAGGCGCAGTCCTCTCAGGAGATGGGACTTGTGTCGTCTCTTGTTGTTGTTGATGTTGATGTTGAGATTCTGGTTCTGGTTTCTCTTCCTGTTGCTTTAATGTAGTGTCATTACGATCACTAATTCCCTCCCATTTATTCGCTACATCTTTTTTCTGTTGAGATTCATTTCCTTCTTCTTCATATTCTTCTTCGTATTCTTCTTCATATGCCTCCCCATCCGCTTGACCGGCCAGTCCGGAGACATCATCGAGTTTCTTTTGGATCTGATCCAGCCACGAGCCCCACATTGGCGGCGTAGCCTACAGGAGAGAAGAAAGAAAGAGAGGGGGGAAAAATATATATATATATATATATATATATATATATATATATATAGATAAATATATAGATGTAAAACAGAAACAAAACAAATAGAGAGAAAAAAAAAGAAAGAAACAGAGATATCGCATATAAATTAAAATAAAAAAACCAAAAAAAAAATAAGTCAATCATAAGCAAATACACTTACACCTTCCAAGAGGGGAACCAAAAAAAAAAAAAAGAGACATTACATGTCTGTCATTGTGTGGGGCAATGTGTAATGCTGCGCCCGTCACCCTGTTAGTTACATATATACAGAGAGTGAGAAAAAGAGAGGGATGTGCATACATTATATCTAGGGAAAAGAAAAGAAAAAAAAAGCAAAAAAAAAAAAGAAATACTTCACATCTATACAGTGGATAGAGGAACAAATTATGTAATCAATCCCCATCCCCATCCAATCCCTAACCCAATGAACACATCGTCCACCTCTCATCATCTCCTTTATTCTTTACATACTAACGCTGGTTGGCCAATACGCATTCCCCTCAGTTCTCTCCTGTTCATTACCATTGTGGTCGGGTGAAGGAAATTGTGTGCCACTACTCATGACTGTCTCATCACAAGAATTAAAGGCTACATCGGTAGAAACCCGTACTGGTCTATTATCTAATTCAGTTACACTCATTAAACATCTTCTAGTATTATCCTCCTCAATCAAAGCACGGTGACGGGCACTACGCATAACGTGTTCTAGTGATAACCAAAGGAAACACCACCGTGAACAACAACAACAAAAAGAAGAAGAACGATTATGGCGGTGGGGAGAAGAGTACATTCTTTCTACTGTCTCTAAATCTACGCAGCGACTCCATCTACGGTGCGCTCTAATGTATTCCTGTACAGATAACACAACATGTACAATAGCAAACAAAAGTAATACAAAAAGGAGAATCGCAAATGGCATATGGTATACTGTTGCCGTTACCAGTAAAGCGATACCCCAAATATTCTGCAAAAATAAAAATGGAGAGGAAGTTAGGGCGTTGTATAATACAACAGCTTCCTTTACAATTGAGGCAATATGTGGATTGGAACGACTGTTTCCTTCAATAATGTAAAGATCACTATACATTAAGACACATGGGGCAAAAGGTGTGATGGGTGCAAACCATAAAAGTCCAACGGCAGTAGTAAGATACTCCGCACATACACCAGCCCGTTCAAGTATCTGAACAAAGTAAGAGTATGTTACTGTCAAAATAAGGTTGGATAATACGAACTGCAGCAGAGCTAGAGATCCAAGCACAATATACCCAGCAATCCAGTATCCACAGCATAAGGCACAGTTCGCCCCATAAACGGCAAAACGAAGAATAGCATGAAATAAAATACCACGGTGGGGTCTTCGTATCAACGGCAATGTTAGTAAAATAAGATAAAATACTGAGAGGCAACAATAGAGAGTAACAGCATTAGGGAATGGAAACATACGCCCAATAGCACTCTGCCAAGCCACCACCTCCACTACAAGACCTACACAACTTCCCACATAACCCAAAAAAATGAAAAAAAACACTATGGTAGTTATTCCTATTGATATATCACGAGGATAAACTGTTATGGCAATAACTAGTAATACTGTAACTCCTGTATACGCTGTAGCAGGTATCCATACATACCAGTGATGTATGCTTCCCTCTCTATCTAATAGTAAGAGCATACGAACAGTACATTTGGATGGTACACGAAAAGTGACTGGCCATTTGATCTTTCTCGTTGAGAAACTAAGTGAATGTGCCACACCTCCTTCAGTACCTATTGGAATGAATTGTGATGATTTACTAGTTGATGAAGTAATGATTTCAACACCTGTTGTGTTTGAACATGACTGTGTTGTACTATGTGAGTCAAATGCGAGTACACGTGCTGTTGTCGCCTCTACACCATCTAATCCTGCTTTTAGTGGATCCCAGAAGAAACTACAGCCACTTATCACATACCGTTCTGGATTTAGTTCAAATACAATAATGTTATTTAAAATCATACCTGCCTCGGAACGTAATACATTTGCCACAGCATCACTTACTGGAATTTTTGCAAGTAACATTTCAGTTTCAATGATATCATTATAACGTGAGAGTTTACCAAATGACACCTTCTGCAGTGACCAGACAGGAGCTGTCACCCACTGACTATCAATTGGTATGGTTGTGCCGCATGTTGCGTAGCCAACACTCACATCTACCGCAACCACCGCAGAGGTGAAGAGGAGCATAAAGAAGGGAAGAAGAAACCACTCCCGTGGAGTCATCATTATCATTAACGATCGAGAGACAGTTAAGTAGATAAATATATATATATATATATAGAGAGAGAGAGAGAGAGAAAATAATAAAAAATAAAGAGGAGATATCACCACACTTTGAAGGGGACTCTCTCTCTCTCTCTTTTTTATGTGCAAGACCTAATCAACACTACCTTGTGCTTCACAGAAAGAAAAAATAAATAAATAAATAAAAAGAATAATAATATCAAACAGGAGAAAAGGAAAATAAAAAATGAGTAATGCATCACCAAAATAAAATAAAATAAAAAATATTTCATAAATTTGAAGACAAGACAAAGAACGTTACATACAGTAGCACTATGTCCTGAGTTATCCTTTTATGAAAGAGCGCACAGTCCCAGAACATACCAAAAGGTAATTCTTGTTTCCTTTTCTCTTCATAGTGTTCTTATTCTTTTTTTTCCTCTCTTCTTTTTACGTATATCTGTTTTTTCTTCCAAGAGTTGGTATTGTACTCATTGGTGAAAAACACGAAAGATAGAAAAAAAAATCACGAAGAAAAAAACCCCGGTGATGGGGAATCATGAGCAGAAACAGGAAAGGAAGCAAAGGTGACTTTTTAAAAAAAAGTAAAAAAAAAAAAGAAAGGTGAAGCGAACATGGTGTTAAACGTGTGCTGGAAAAGGGGGAGAAAAGTCCAAACCGCATAAAATACGTACATATCACTGTAGTTATATATATATATATATATATATATATATGTATATGTATTATTGAATAAACACTTGTGTAGTGCGATGTAATCAGCAATGATGAAGGAATATGCTATACCTTTTTAGAGAATTCACATACATTAGACTCCCCCCATTCGCACCACACAACTTCAGACCCTCTCACTTACAGATAAAAAGAGAAATAGATAGATAGATAGATAGATAGATAGATAAAAAAAAAAAAAACACCGCCTACACATAGGCACGCATATAAATGAGAACTAGATATCCAAGGTCAAAAATGTCATTATATTTATTTCCCGTCGACATTTTAGATTTTATTCTAATTATTCTTTTGCTCCTCGTTCCAGTTCCACAGAATTATTTTTTGTTGTTGTTGTTCTTGTTGTTTTGTTTTCTTCGTTTCTTATCTACTTGTCATTTTCCATTCGGTTTGTATTCATTCCATTTACAGTAATACTATCATTTTCATTTCTCTTTTCTTTTTTTTTCGGTTTTCTTATTTTGTGGAGTTCGCACTCTACCCGTTTTTTTTTTTATTATTATTTCTTTACATCTGAACCCAAGCATACTGACAGAAAGAAAAAGTTAACAATCAGCTGCTCAAGAAGAAGGTATACCTTCCAAAGAAAGCAAAGACGACAAAGCAAAGCAAAACAAATAAAAACGTCTTGGTATCTAAACCCAAGTGATTCATTTAACAAACAAACACATATATATATATATATATATATATACTTTTTTTTCCTTTCATAAACCAAATTATGAGGTAACAAGCATATCTCCCCCGTAGCCAACAAAAAAAAAAGAGATGGCAGCACACACCAAAGAGGGAATAAGAGAAATTCACATGAACTCCTTAATCCCTGGGGAGTCAAAAAAAAAGAGGTAGTAATAAGTCAAAATAACTAAGATTATTTCTTTTCTGGACGTTGGAAACTCTTCTTTCTTCGTCCCAAGATGTCAAGATGCTCAAACTTAATACCTTCACCAGGTTTGTACGGTTTCCACTGTCTCTGTTTGGGAATAACCATCTTGCGCACTTTATTAACTTCCTCCTTAGCTCCATCTTTAATACGTTGGTATGCCTTACTAACAGCTGGTTCAAATACCTTGAAGGCCGCCACTAGCTCTGTCTCTGTGAGTGTATCTAACATCGCACCTATTATATCAAGCATCGACATGGCGAATTCAACTTCCGCTTGTGGGGGTAACAAAGAACCACCTCCAGTAGCAATATGAGCATCTTTAGGAGTAGCTCCAGTTGAAGCACCACCATTTTTTTCATTTTTCCCTTCTCTTTCAGAGTTTTCTACCTTGGCTGCCTCTGCAGCACTGTTTTCATCAGCTGCACAAATCATATCACATTGCTCAACAGTGAGGGAAGGGATAAGAAAATTTAAAATACATGAGTTAAGGATAACTTTGTCGTTTTCATCAAATTTAGCTTCTCTGATCTTCTTACGAGCATCATAAGTAAGAGCACGAGGCCCTGCCGGATCATAATTTATGCCTAGAGCAAATAATATCCATAAATGATCTATAGAATCACAAAACGGAGTATTCTTGGTCTTAGATAGTATATCTTGAGTCATTTCCTTTAAGAGGTAAATGCGCTCCTTACGCTGAAGTCTATATGAGAGCTCACGTTCTCGAGTAAAATAAAGCGATTTTTCACCACGATCAAAGGCTTCTGCACAGAGACGAAGTCGTGTTAAAACTTCATGGGACCTAAGGCAACACCACCTCTTTATGATAACATCACCAATAGAGCGAATATCAATTGCAGATGATACTGATGGTCGTGCATTGGATTTACTTGCAGCAACAGTTTTATCTCCTTCTCGAGCAGAATTATCCGTTGATACCCCATTTCCAGCATCTGCTGGCATATCCAGGAATAAGGGTTGTCGGTCCCGCCACTCATGTACGAGTGCGTAGCGGAACGCCTCTAACCAGCGAGGATCAGACGTGAGATTTACCCACACATACCGAGACTCCTTTGGAACAAGAGATTTGGCGCCTGTGAGAGTCACATTTGACGGTAATGCAACATCAGCGTGAACGTCCACATCATCATCATCATCGTTACCCTTCTGTCGCAATACTTGATAGCGGAGACTTAACACTGGGGATGGATCGTCATTTTCTGTGGCTTCCATCACCTCTTCCTGGGCGGCTTCTGGATCGTCGATGGGATTGTGTTTAGTGAGTGGGATGACTGTTTCTTGCCTGCCGCGTGTGGTGAGGGAAACTTGAAGGACTCCATGTAGGAGCACGTACGGTTCAACTTTCCGTGTTGTCTCCAGCAGGGCGATGGCGAGTGTGACGGTGGAGTGGCCTGGTGGGATATCAAAGTCCACCGAGTCGTGGTAGAATGGGGCGTTGGAGTCTGGCTGCAGCGCTGTTGTGAATTGTGGGGCGAGTGGATTCTTGCCGTCGGCATCCCGCGGCTCGAGCTGCACGCGTGTGGAACACGGACAGGGATCGTCCTCCGTCTGTGGGTAGTTGCGGCCCCGCAGCACATCCACATGGAGCCGTAGTGGCTGAGTCATCGCGGTGGATGGAAGGTGGGGAGTGGGGGTACGAGAGAGGCGTGTACACCGTACTTTCTCCTTAAGGTAGAAAAGTCAAAAAAAAAAAAAAGATAGAGGAGGAAGAAGAAAAAAAATGGAAATGAAATAATTTGGGTTATCTCCGAGGATTTTACTTAACGACTGAAAACAAATTACAGTTAAACGTAAAAATGGGCTTAAGATGGCTCTGCCTCACCCAAAACCACTCTCATCTAATATCATTAGGTACTGAATGAACAGAAGGATAATAATAGTTTATTTTTTCCCAACTCCCGTATGAAGAAGAGATAGGGGAGTTAGCTAGACATACAAAAAGTTGCACCTTCACAAGAACTCTCTACAATGGTACATAAGAAAGATTTTACCATTCATTCATTATACAAACATAAGCAAGACCAAACCACTACCTCGACGAGCCACAAAGGAAAAAAAAAAACACATACACACACAAAGTAAGAAAAATAATAAGCACACACCCAAACGAGAAGGCAGTTAACATGCTCCGGAGACCATGTACTCGCTCTCAATATAATCAATAATCAAATAGACCTGAACCCCACGGTTACACCAACAAACGAATGCCACAATAAAGAAAAAAAAAAACGGCTCAGATGGTATTCCGTAACAAGAACAAAAGAAACACAACAACACCGAACCTTAAAAACCAAGAAATCATAAAAATAGAAAACAAACCATACCGTAGACAACCCACCCATTGGGATATACTCCCTGTTGAAAATAATCCGCTCCGTTCCACCACCCAAACCCCATGGATGCTATCCTATCACCGAGTGCACCAACAAATGTCAGCTCTTTCTGACCACAAATGATGAACGAACCGCATTCTGCAATACTTACATTAGTAAACACTACTTCGTAATAATCATCGCAAGTCTTGACGAGCAGGTTTATACACGTGGCAGGGAGGGAAGGGGTGGGGGGGTGCAGATAACTCTCATACATGTATAACGAAACTCACAAAAGGAGAAACCAGATACGTGGCTAGCTGCAAGTCAGTTGCATCATGCCCCCAGAAATGTGGGACTCCTTTAATGGAAACCATTCCTCACCGACCGATAAGGCAACAACTATCACAAATAGCACTGCAAGACGTCTTGGCAGGGGACGCCGACAATGCCCATGGTCTCAAACGAGGCAACCTATGCAGAGCTCTTACATCATCCACAGTTACGACCAGCGTACAAACAACTGTTCGTGTATATCATAAACACCAACTCCTCCCTCAACGCCAACATCAGAGACGGCAGGCTCTCTAGTGCAGCTACAGTAAAATTGAGCAGCCCACTGCTTCATCCACAGAAACACAAGGGAGAAACAGTGCAGAGAGCATCAGGTTTCTTTGTGCAAGTACATGGCACGGCGTAAAAACAACAATACTCAACCGTGCTTTGCACATATCATCATTCGCTATCCTATGACCGAGAAAAGCAAAAGAGAGCGGAAGTAGCAGAGAGCAATCATCAACACTGTGACGTCATCCACCTCCATCAACACCATCGACAGCAACACTCCAAGTAAGAAATAACTCTACAGCAGACACAAATAGGGAAATGACACGCCACGCACGACATCACTCAAGAAGCCTTTACTCCCGGAGTACAAGAGAAGCCTCACCTCAAGTTCACGTCAGCGCCGACGCAGATAGAAAAAGAAAAAAAAACAGTATCAAAAACACACGCAGTAACTCGTATTTCTGTCACAAAAATAAAAAAAAACACTGTACTTACCAAAAATAAAGAGATCAAAATTTATCAGAAGTGATACCACTTCTTATGCTAAACAGCATAATAAGAAAAGAACAAAGGTATGGTAAAATACCAAAGAATACCCCAGCACCCATACTACAAGAAATACTGGGATTTGAGAGGGCCTAACACCTGCATAAGAAAAAAATAGTCATTCACCAGGTTACCACAACCACAAAATCAAATCACAAAGATATAGTAAGCGGGTACGTACGAGAGTCAAAAAAAAAGCCAATTTGCCGCAGAAAACAGTGTCCTATATAAAAAATTATGTCACAAAGAGAAACAATGAAGGGACCCAAGAATTCTAATATACCTGTTATTTCCTCTACACCCATAAAGAACATCCTCTAACAGGTTCGTCCGTACAAGACGGAAAAACCTTTTCTTCAGGTTCACCAACACCACCTCCTTAAAAAATCAAAAAGATAATATCACTACATAAAAAGCTACAAGGTGACAATCTAGAGCAGAAAACTCTCCTCATGGAAGTTGACTCCGAGGGATAGGGCCACATCTCTCGTGGACTTCACCAGGCCGGCAGGACCACAGACAAACACCAACACCTCTCGTGGGTCTTTACCGACGATAGCACGCGGGATTTCAGTGGCAACATCAAGCCGCTGCGTCGAAACGGAAACACGCGGTGCAGAAACACAGTCAGAAGAGACACCTCCAGTTAAGAAAAGGTGAAGTGTGGCATTTGGGTCAGAGGTTGTCACTGCTGGGCATTCTTCCACAGATTTGGTGTTTAAACTGTTTAAGTAAAATAACCCTTTTACTTCATCATCGTCCCACAGGTGCGACATCATGGGCAGCAGCTCCGCGTCACGGAGTGTCCACAGCAGCGTTACAGTGGGGCAACATGCCTCCTCCAACCCCAGTCGACGGTAATAGTCGTAAATCGCGGCGCACGGCGTCACGCCAATTCCGCCAGCAACAAGCACAACCGCCTTGTAATCGTTAAGATCCGACACCCGGCCGCAAGGCCCGTCAACACTTAATGAGATGTTGTTGCCACGTGCCCTCACAAGTTCCACAAGCTGCCCCGTCCACGTCCCCTCCCCCATAGACTTGATGTGAAACGTGTAGCACCCCTCGCTTGCACTGCTGAAGCTGAACGGGTGCCACTGCAACAGTGACAGCTCAGGGACGTTTACAAACGCATACTGCCCAGGGGCAGCACTCAGCGACGCGTGACGGAAACGCAGCTCCACAAAAGCGCCGCTGGCAACAGCCGATACAACCTCCACCGTAGACGCACTCCGATACATCCGAAGCAGACGATCCAAGAACCACACTGTCAGTCCGGGTAGGAAGTACTCCCACGCAGCAGCGGCATGCCACAGCACCGTGGGGACAATCATGTAGAACGCCGCAATGTGTAGGTAGTAGAACAGCTCGAAGAAGCGGCGCCGCACAGGTTCCAGTGCAAACACGCCCATCGCCACAAGCATAAACCATGTC